TTGAAGATGTCTATAATATGTTTTTTACTGATCTGAATACTTTGAGAGAAACAGTATATGGCATTGACTACACTGCGTTTTCAAAGGTATTGACCCAGGTAGCAAGGACCGCATTTGTTGCGCATTTTAGGCGCATTTTTGGCGCATCAATGCACCATCCCAAAGGCAGTAGTATCCATTGCCAATTTTGGCAATGAGCGTCACATTGCTGTCGGTAATGAAGCTTCATCGCCACATTTTGGCGAAGTAGTCTTCACCGCCGATATTTTAGCTATGAAGCTTTACTGCTAACAGTTCGACGTTTTTAAACTGCTACTAATTAAGGAGAACTTAAAAAAAAATACTTCCGCTCATTTCCAAAATTGGAAATTGATGCTGTTTTTGCAATGACTGATTCAATGCCGCTGAAAAGGTATTACTCTTGTCCCATTGCCTTTGGCAAGACATTGTCACAACTTTCATTGCATTTGGAAATACAGTGTACTGAAATCATAGTGATAATTTTTGCTTGCTTACAGCTGAGCGTTGCCAACGCAGGGCAATGCGTGGATGGGAGACTCGACATCCTTGAAGCGCAGATGGACGTCTGCTTAATGAACATCCCACCTTCCCGCGACTACCTTCCTTCAATGTGCAGCAGACAAGTCATCGCTCAACTGGAAAGAGAATCCTATTGCTCAGTGAAGGATGCCGTAGGCCTCCTGTATAAGTGTTTATATTACCACGACGGAGCTGAGCAGGCCAAGACTTGCCTCCAGAAGGCTATTAACACCGGACTCTGTTGTTAACCACCGAATTTTACAATATTGTAAATATGTATTAAATAAACTTACGTTGCAACAACTCATCTCTGTATCAATGTTACAAAAGAGAAATTTTTCGATATTTGTGTAGAAAGTGAAGGAAAGCGCAGATATATCAACCCAAACAAAGAACATGGGAGCCGCTCACGCACGTTTTTAGCAATATTTTCTAAATAATCGGGTCGCAAATCTAAATACAACGCTGTAAAGAGCACAGCACAGTCAGGTGTGCACAATTAGATTACCGCTAAAGGTGTTACACGAGACATAAGGAAACTAACTTCGGACCGAGGTCCGAACTATTTTTATTGTTCACATCATATTTTCTGATGAAAAGTGGCGGGCTGGCTGTGATGTATGAAAAGTATTCTTTGCGAAAATTGTACAGACTTAATGCAACACAATTTTCCTTTTTCGAAATTTTGCGGAATGGCAAATTTGAAGTTGTTGGGAATGAAACCAGTTGACCCTTTACCGTCGTGCATGCACGCATGCACCACCGGGTGCGCTGCTGTGATGCACAATCCGATTGAATTCAATTGACGGTGATTCATTGGAACACGACCGGTGCGTGGCGTATGGTGGGGCGGGCGTAGGGGGCGGCGCGTGGAGCGTGGGGGTG